AAACAACCATTTTAAGTACAAACCTTTTAAGTGCAAAAAGTTTTTGACAAAAGATAGGTTTGTTGAGGAATTGACTAACCTATCTTTTGCCAAAAACCTAATTTAATCTCATCAAAAAAAAGCTCCAACTCTAAAATATTTAAGTGAGCTCATCAAAAAAGGCTTCCACATCTAAACTTCCTATTGTCCAGCCCTTTTAAGTAACAAACCTACTTCAATCTTAACAAAAAAGAGCTCCAATCTAAAATATTTAAGTGAGCTCATAAAAAAAGACTTCCACATCTAAACTTCCTACTGTCCAACCCTTTTAAGTAACAAACCTATCTTTTTAAGTTCAAAAACCTACTTCAATCTCATAAAAAAAGAGCTCTAATCTAAAATATTTAAGTAAGCTCATCAAAAAAGACTTCCAAATCTAAAGTTCCTACAGTCCAGTCCTTTTACAAACTAATTCTTCATGCTCCCTTTAGTTGTTGGCAGTAAACTCATTAGTGGCCAGTGGCCACTTGTTCATTCTTCTATGATGTTTGAGTATCTACAAGAAAAGACAAATTCAAATATACAAGGTTAAAACAGAAGAAAAAATTACAAATAAAAACATAACAGCAGTGCCTGATTCCATTTTCTCCAAAGCTTGATAAAACTCAAGCTCATCTTCACTTGACTGCTTGTTGAAGTCAAAAACCACTTGGCTTAGCCAATCCTTAGTGCAAACAAGGGCCTCAATTATTTTAGGAGTCAAAGACGCTCTAAAAGGATCCACAACCCTTTTTCCCATACTAAACGCAGCTTCCGAAGGCACACTTGAAATAGGGATAGCAAACACATCCCTTGCAATCTTAGATATAAATCTTGGAGAGTTCTCTCCCCACCAATCTAGCAAATCAAAGTCTGTTATTTCTGGATCTTGAGCTGCCTCTAATAAATACTTATCCACCTCATTCTTAATTTGAACCATGACTCTATCTTTTCTTGTTCTTGCAAATTTTTAAAGTCTTGGATCATTGCATTCAACTCTTACCTCCCCTCCACTTTCTACATTAGCCTCCACATTAGATTGGGCCACTGCTGGTTCCTCTTTCTTATAGGCCTCATACATCCACATTAAGAGATCTTTCAACCATTTTACCATCACACTAACCTTCGAATCATCACTTGCTAACTCATCAAAGCTATATTGGACATAGTCATTTTGTAACGAGGATCAAACACCACCGCCACAATCAAAACTTGGTTCACTTCCCGAATATTACCCCAATACTTATCGAACTTCTTTTTCATTGAAGTTGCAAAATTTCAACAACAAAAAAATGTCTTCACTTATAATCATTGCATTCAACTCATCAACAATAGAAAGCATCTCATTGAAGGGGATATTGGAAGTAACCGTCTTATATGCACTAAACTTTAAGGTTGCCTCGTAAAATCTTTTCAAGAACTTCACAAAAGCTCTTGCATACTCCCAATCCGCAGCGGTTGGAGGCTTCAACTTTTTTTTAATGGAGATTTCCTCTTCTTCAACCTTTCTTTTCTTCTTTTTCGAAATACCATCATCACGATCACCACCACTTTGATGAAAGTAAGGTGCATAATCTGCCGCCTCATCTTCGAATCTATCGAACCCTCTTTGCAACTTTAAGGCAGCTTCTAACATAAGATATACTAAGTTCCACCTTGTTTTACAGTCCAAAAGTAATAAACATTTGCTGTCAATTTTTTTGCAAGGCCAAACAATGCCTAAATTTGTCTAACCTAGATGGGGAAGACCTTGTATACACACAAGCTTTGTGAATACTCTTAATTGAATCATGCAATTCACTCAACACATCAAAAACTACCAAATTAAGGATATGCGCACAACAGCTCATATGTAAAAAATCACCATCTAGCAAAAAAGTGCCCCATAGCTTCAATTGCCTCTTCATATGCCTAATGGCCTCATCATTAGCCGTAGCATTGTCAAGTGTAATAGTGAAAACTTTATCTATTCCCCAATCATGCAAATAATCCTCTACAAGTCTTCCAATAGCCTCACCTCTATGATTTGTAATTTGACAGAAATTGATGATTCTCTTATGCAATTTCCAGCTATCATCAATGAAATGAGCTGTCAAAGCCATATAGTTCACATTTTGCAAGGAAGTCCAAGTGTTCGTGGTAAGTGACACTCTTTGTGAATTTAGATTTAATATACTCTTGATTTTGACCTTTTCTTCTTGAAAAAGATCCCACACATCTCTAGCAATGGTTCTACGAGATGATGGATCAAATCTAGGTTGACACTCTCTCATAAATAGCCTAAAATCGACACCTTCCACATGCCTAAATGGAAGCTCATCAAGTATTATCATCTTCACACAAGAAATTCTACTTCTCTCCTTGCTATATGAATGCGCAACTAGGGTTTCTTTGTTCTCAAATGAAAGCACTTTTTGTTTGTTCTCATCTCTCAATGGACATCCCCCTGTACACTTCTCTCTCAAATGTTGCATCATTGTAGATGTCCCATTTTTTATGGGATCACATGCATAAGATGCACGATAATACTTACAAGAAGCTCTAGGTCCTATATTACTCCCTGGTTCAAATGTTTCCATACCTCTGATGCCTTCCTAGTAGGCTTGATCTTTCCTGAAGTGGGAGGATGTGAAGAGAGTGTAGCTGCTCCATCCCCAACTACTTGTGGTTTATCATCTGTTGTGGATATAGGACGAGCTTTCATATTTGACATTTTTAAGGCCTATAAAATGAAAAAACATATTCATAAGCAAACTCATAAACATGCCAAAACATGTCACACTCCAAATGTAATAAACCTTTACACACCAAATAGATTTTCAAAGCTATGAGTCAAAACTTTTACATCCTTATTATTGTTTTTCAAAACATATGTAAATTCATAGAATATAGATTAAAATTATTCACAACTGCTTTCATACAAGTAAAGTAAATTGTAATTATATTATCAATTAAATTGCATAATCTTGAAGGCTCAAGGAAGATGGATCTTTGGGTTTGTTTCTGGAGATAGATCACACCATCAAGTTGATGGGATTTATCTAGTATTGGGATGCAATTTATCAACTTTTAGAGAGCTAATTCTCTAATTTAGAACTGGTTGGTTTCGTTCACTAATAATTCATTAACAGAACAAGCCTTTTACACAAATTTGTTCCTTAATACATAATACACTAACCCATTCTATCTAATAAAGCTAATCAAGGATAATAGTTGATAGCTAAACTAGTCCTGAATTAGAGGCTTTTATGTGTTGAGGCTTCAATACACACCATAGATATAGCAGTTACAATTTACAAACAATACACATATTTAGGAAGGAAAGGAAACTTTCCCTTGATTTTCAACACAATCACCAGTTCAAAACTCTCCAATTTGCTAGATAAAATGTCTGCATATGTAAGAATTACGAAAATTAGGGCTATACCAAAAACCCCAAAATTAGGGTTCATAACAGAAACAAAAATCACATCAACAAAAAAAGAAAAAAAAAATTGTTGAGAAATCAACTAACCTTTGCAGAGAGAAACCGAGTTTGAAAAATGAGATGAAAGAGTAGAATGACTGATGAGAAACTAAAAGATGAGAGGGAGGTGTAAGTAAGGCTATGAAGAAGAGGTGTCGCCGACAATACGATGTGAGGTTGAGGCAATGTCGATGGTGTGAGGCTGAGGCGAAGTCGACGAGGCAAAGGGGAGGAGAGATAGATGAGGCATGACTAAATTGGGATGAAGGATTGACCTAGATTAAGTTGTGAAGGGCTTGGATATGCTACGCAAATGTGCACATAACATAAAATCAAAAACCAATAAAAATAAGCCACGTATATTATAATTATTAAATTAAATATGATTTACATATTTGGTTTGGTCCAATTAATCGACGATTTTTAAAATTAGGAATCGAGCGCCGAACCATGAATACCGATTCGATCTGGTTCATGCACCGTTGACCAAAAAGAAAAGGAAAAAACCAAATCAAATTGGACTGACCGATTCAGTTCGATCGATTTGCTCAATTTTTGGTCCTAGATGCCCAGCTCTAAATATAACCATATAAGTTAGAGGAAGCTAGCAACCTTCTCTCTAACATTCTCCTTTGGACCTTCTTCATTTTTTGCTTGACATGTGTCATTCTCCTTACACTTAAAACAATGTTATTAATATAGTATACAAGCTAACTTTTGCTTTCCAAATTTACCCTTATTAAATGGATTCAATTTATCCAAAAAAATTTCTCAACTTTCTTACCATCTTATTAATTTTTTTCTAACATCAATTATTTTTTTTAAAGAAAATATCTACTTTTAAGAGGAAATGTCCATTTTTTTTTAAACACAAAGGGTTTAGATAGAGAAAAAAAAGTCCTTTGTGTTTTTAAAAAAACATACATTTCCTCTTTTTTGAAAAAATCATACATTTTCTTTTAAAAAATAATTGACGTTAAAAAAAATTAATAAAATTGTAAGAAAGTTGTGAAATTTTTTGGGATAAATTGAATACATGTAATAAGGGTACAGTTGGAAAGCAAAAGTTAACTTGCATAATATATTAATGACATTGTTTTAAGTGTAAGGAGAATGACACATGTCAAGCCAAAAAGGAAGAATGTTAGAGAGAAGATTGCTAGTATTCCCCAATAAGTTAATGTTAACGATGTGCATCGTTTTAGTGAAAAACCTTTATTCTTTTATTTGGGTCACTTACATGATGACTGGGCCAGCGCTGGTATGGCCCAGCTCAAATTTGAGGTTAGGCTGTTGGGCTTCAGCTCTAATTTATTTGACTACAGATTTCTACATCATGGCTTCGGACCAAAAAAAAAAAAAAAAGATTTCTACATATCATGGCCCCAAAAACATACTACAGATTTCTACAAAGCACATTTTCTCCCATCCATACACCACTGTAAACAAGAAAAAAAGCACATATAGAAAATACACCGTGTCTGCACAATAATAACGTCAGGAGAAATAACACAAATAAAACATAAGCTCAAAGGACCTTTATTATGTAATTTACTATTTAACTATTAAACAATGACAGATGTTTTTAGCCATAAATACACAATGAAGAGCAAACGAATGCTTCAAGTCTCTTTACACAACACTCCTCCCTTAATTGATTTTGCGGCAGTTTTGTCGCACTTCTCCTTTGAAACCTTCCTTAACATCCAGCATGCTCATTTTCACCATTGCCTGTTGAAAATCAAAGAAGAACATGGCTTGGTTGAAGGCATAACCATGTACAATGTTTCTGGTTCTTGCAGATGCAAACAGAGTTTGGTCAGAAGCCAGCAGTCCGGTGTTCCGCTGCAGAGCATTGAAGTAAAGGTTATCGAAACGGTTTCTCGTCGCATCGAAGGGCTGCTCGGTATTGTCCCCGGCACTGCAGATTTTGGTCAGTTGCTTTGCAAACCCTGAATCTAAGTTTGGATCCACAGCATCACTCAATCGGTTTTTGAATGAAGAGCACCTGGCTACACCTAGTGTATGTGCACCTACAAAGTGCAAAACCAATATATATGAACCCTTAAATTAAGAGAAAAACTTATGTGGAGATTCTGCCAGAATGAGTGGCAGGGAGCGTTTAGTTAGAACATAACATGTGTTGCATGATTTGACCGGACAATATCTGCCACTCAATCGGCTACATAACATGGTCGTCTGTAAATTTTAAGAGGGAGCATGTATATGTTTACCAGATAGAGCCACCATTTCTTGGGCAGTAAAACCATGTTGCCCGAACATTTTAATGAGTTCAGAGGCATTCAAGGTGGGTGGAGGCAGGTTGATTGTGTCTTGTATTTTAGACCTACTTCCGTCCTTTCTTCCTTTGGGTATGTCATATACTGGACCTCCAGCCTGTTGTTAATAAAATCCCATCAACGAACAGTAAAGTCTAATGAATAATTTCACACACAGAAAAAAGAACAAAATATAATTTATGAATGAATTTATATGTCCTTAATTACCTCAAAAACTGCATATGTAGAAGCCATTGCAACTATATCAGCGCATGAGACAACGCCAGGGCATTGTTTTTCAAGCTCCTCTTTTGCAGCATCAATAACTTCATAGCCTCTAAGGCTCAAATTTGCAGGGGAGTCCTTCTCTGCTGTGTTGTCTTTTGTTGAATCTAGGAGAATTGACGCATCACATCCCTAAATATTCAACAAAGAAACAAAAGTTTTAATTTTTTTGGTAATTTAGAAATGACAATGTGGAGTCATTAAATCCCTTTAAAAAAAATAATTTAACATGAACTTAGAAAGTTATAAAAAAAACACTTTACACAAGAAAACAAAATATTATACTGTTTGGATGTGTGTTGCGTGTAATTAATGTACTGATTGAAAAGTAATATATGAATAACAATGGAAGAGTGTAGATGTCGCACACCTAGCACTCAATAGAAAAAATAAAGTTAAAAATAGTAAATTAGCTGTTACTCTATAGTAGTGTTATGATATTGCGTTTAGTGGTTCGAAAAGAAGCACTCTTGTGTTTTTTTAGAAAGTACTTTTAAATAAATAAGCATGAAAACCTTTTGCTTTTCTTAATAAAAATTCCGTGCACTTCTAACAAAACCTACCAAATTTAAACAATATGATTGTGTTGTGTGTATAGAGAGAGTAAACAATATGATTGTGTAAATAGAGTTGGCAAAACAAATCCATCAAGAGGAGAGAGAGAGAGAGAGAGAGAGAGAGAGAGAGAGAGAGAGAGAGAGAGAGACCTCTATGAAGCAGTCATGGAAATGCATTCTGATTAGGCCTGCTGCTAAGGTTGGATCAGCTTGCAAGGCTCTGATGACTGAATTTCTCACGATAAGGTCAGCCATCGGGCAGCTCATAATGTAATATTCCATGCTCAAACCATGTGCTCCAGATCTGAAGCCACTCATCATTTCCATTACTAGAAACACACCAAGAAGCTTAGGAATTCCCATGTTTCTGTGTGTGTGGTCAAAACAAATTAGCTTAGTTGATAGAAGAACGCGTAACTGGTAGAACTGAAGAGTGAAGAGAAGGCAATGTGCATTTATATAGATGCAAAGTAATGGTTAAACAAATGTTGCCGCCCCAAAACCAAAGGGAAGAAAAAAAGTTGAAAACGACAGTGGTTTATGCTGATCAATTATCCACCTAATCAATCTCATTTGTCTAGATAATGCAATAATTGTTATCAAAATCCATGCTAATTACATGTAGGGCAATACCTAAATGCACCGCAGCACTAAACAAATATTAATAATACTATATGTACTATATATAGTGACCATGTTTTTAGTAGAGATGTACCCCATTAATGAATGAGAAATCCACCGTAATCAGTAAATATGGTACAAATAGCAGCACTAAAAAAATATTAATTAAAGCCAAATCATGCATGCATGAAATCTAAGACTAAAAGATTACAGAGATCACACAACAACAAATGGCACTGTTAACTGATAATCACATTGTCACTAACAAATTAAATATGATATCATAAAGTGTTGAAGTTTTGCATGGATAGTGGATTAATATACATACGCGGGCTAGGCATGGAAGTCAAATGTCAAAATGAAAGTGGAGAGTGTCAAGTGTATCGAGCACTATGTAGGCCACGACCAGGAAACACATGTAGGGCGGGCGGCATATATGTATGTAGATCAGCTGGCTTCCATTTGAAAAGGACAGCATACCTACTCTAGAGACGTCATGTCGTTTTGTGACAAGTGGGGAGGCTTGTTTGGGCAAAAGAAAGATCCTTTTACGCGTGCAGATTCAACAGGCTATCGATTAGTGTCTTACACACGTTCAACAACATGTGGTGTGGTGGTACTTTATTCGACTCACATCATATATATATATACATACATATGACATGCTTTCACTTCAAGCAAGCGATATATGTGGTAGTGGTGTCTTGTCTTTTCTTCTTCTTTGTTTGGTTTTTTATTTTAAATGAGGTCTGACTTTTTAATGGGTGTTTTTGGAGTTAAACAGTTAAACTGGTATTATTAATCTTTCTTGCAAGATGAATGGATCTAATGAATTCACAGATAAAAAAACATTGAGAAAGGCATCCAAGTTAAAGGTCAAAAGGTGCAATATCATCCAAATATTCTTTGATGCCTGAGTAAGTCCAGGCTGAGTCATAGTATCTAGAGTTCTAAATAGTGGTAAGAATAAGTGGAAGTGATAGAATTTATAAAGTAAATTGCTTGGCTAATATATTTTGTCAATGATAATTAATTGCGGGATTTCTTATTAATTAACCTAAAAATTTAATTGTTGGGTCTGTGAGTGCATCTTCGGACACATCGCCAATCAAACTTGCTACCCGGTAACAAGCGGCCGGGTCACGGGGCATGGGTATGATCTTAGTTGGGTCAGGGGGTACATGCCACAAGGCTAATTTATGAGTGCCTAAATCGAGTTTCGGGGTCTTGCCTCTGGTCACTGATGTCTGGCTTGTGAGGCCAAGTCATGGGCGGCCAACTTTCCTTGGATCACAATGCCAGAATCTGAACGTCAAGACCCATGACTCATGAGTGTGAGTTACCTTACAATATTTCTTTTGACATAGCTTAGTAATAATATATTTTGAAGTAACACCTAATTTTGGTGTAAGTTAGAATTGGATCTTTGGCTTCTTAGAAGCATATGTGAAAGCCTTTATAATTTGGTAAACCTCATTTTAAACTTGTCAAATAAGAAACTTTGACTATATATCACCCCAAATCATATCTCCAAATTTCTTCACCCAAAAGCACCCTAGCCGCTAGCGACTCAAGACCAACTACAGACATATCTACACTTTATTGAATTTGTCAAGCTTTAGATGCCAAATTTACACAACAAAGTGGTCTCAGAGTACTAATTAATAGCTTCAACTTCAACTTCAGCGCTCACAAAGTTCTTTTTTCTTAGTAATTATGAAAATTAATTTCTACAATTTAATCCACAGCCCATCACATCTCCATATTAACAAAATCTTGCATCCGCCACCGACTCTAACACAATATTATATATACATATAGTTTCCAATTTTGACTTCAAGTTTTCAATTTTGACTTCAAGTTTTCAATTTTTTCCTTTCAATTAAAAACAAAAACAAAAAAACAAAACAAAAAATTTTAATTTAAAAAAAAAAAAATTAAAAAAAAACAAGGGAAAACGTGTATAACTACAGAAATTCCATCAAAGACCGATACATTATATAGTCAACAACTGAAATTGAAAGCATAAGCAACAAGCAACCCCAATCTCTTGTGAGGATTCTCGCCACTTATTAGTCAACTACTAGGCTCAACGCTTATTCATAATTAACAAAGTATTAGTCTTATGTGTGTAACTACATACTACATATTTTAATTGAGAAAGACTCCATGGCTGCTGCTTGCTTGGATCCCAACTCTATTGACGCTACTTGCCCTATTTTCAGGGTTCTGATTAATTGCAAAGATTTAATTAGTAGGAATTAGGTTCATGTTTATTTTTATTTTTTTAGTACAAGCGATTGGGGGAAGGGGTTTACACAAATATTTATTGAGCGTCTGGGAGTTTTGAACCTCCACCCACATGGGTGGAGGTGAAAGAGCTCAACCAACTGAGCTATACCTCACTGGCTATATTCGCATTTATTTGATGCCTTAAGTATGGCAAGGACCATAGCTATTCCTTTGTAGTTTTTTGTTTTTTTTTTTTTTTTTGGCTTCTTAAAAAGGTTTCAATAACCTGCCTTAGTATCAGGGGCGGAACCAATAGAGTGATTGTGAAATTGGTTTTTAGATTGAAGACCAGCTAATCAAGTTAGGACATTGCATTACAACTTCACAAAATTTAATTCAAAGTGCTAGTTTATTCACGTTTTAATTGGTCAGTTTATTCAAAGTACCAAGCTATGATTATACTTGGCCATACCAACTCCCAATCCTCAGATTTTAATGGTTCATATTGTGCCACATTTATCCCAGTTAAGTTTTTCCTTAATATTAATTATTTAAAAAACTCAGGAGGAAATTTTGGATCTGGACAATGGAAAAAAACGAAGTTTATCATTTTTGGCATCTATTCAATACCTCCACATCAATATCCATAAAAAACAAAATCCCAATTGTTATGAACTTGATTGAAAGACAACAATAAAAATACACATTAAAATAAGTACACTTGGAATTCTATTGTTGAACATATTTTTATTTTGATAATACGTGTTTTGCGATTGCATCTTTAATATGTATTTGTTTTATATTAAAGTTTATTGAAAATTTGAGTGGTTTATAAGATTTAAAGCATATTTTTATTTCTAGAAAGACTATAAACTATAAGCAAAATAAAAATGATGATTAAATTTTAAGCTAAAATAAATGTATCTAGCCCACTCGATAACAAATTCCTGGTTCCGCCCTTGCTTAATACCAAACTTATTTATTATTTTGAATGATTAGATTGTCTTAATTTTGTTGTTAGATCACTCCGATTGTGAGGGCAATTTGTGGCTAGTTTGAATTGACCCTTTGTATATAGCTAGTGACTTTTTTGGCTGAATTATGAATGTAATCCCAGAATTTCTCAACCAAAAAAAAAAAAAAAAAAAGCCGACGAATGAGAAAATGAAATTATTTTTGGACTATAACAAATTATTAGAAAAGGGAACCTTGAAAAGCATTAGAATTGTATTTCTCTGAGAAGGTTGTAACGAGGTCATCGTTAACATGCTAATTCTTACCATGTAATGTTCCTTTTGGTTGAATGAAATACCATCTTTTCTTTAAAAAAAAATATAGGTTGATTACCGAAGCAGAATGAATTAAATTAATGAACAAATTAAAGATTGTGTCACGCATCTTTATTAAACATTTTGTAATACATACAACTAAAAAGAATTTAAAGTATACATGTTATCAGGTGAGCTTTACACGGTGCTCTTTGTTACAAAGAAAGTTGCAAATGAACAAATGGGAAGTAATTAAAGAAATGGATGTGTAGTGTACATTGAACTTTTATTTACTAAACAAGATGAGTATATGCAGAACGAATTAACGAAAGTAATCGAGGATCAGTTTGCCAGAGCCAAAAATTAGAAATGAAATGGAGTTTTTGGACGATGCATAGAATGCTTTTCGTTCTCAATCTCTATCAGGCTGTTGATTACAATATTTGCAGCCCTTGTTACAACATCTGCCAAATTCCTACAAAACCCAAAAGAAAAACCGATCGGAATTAATTCAGGAAATTCTATGAAAATGTAGTAGTTATATCATGTCTTTGAATATTAATAATTATAACCTTAAAAACCAAATACTCAAAAGACAGTTATTTGATGAAATATTATTAGCACGGGTAATATTGGGAAGACTATATAGTTATAGATCACCTTGTGTACCATCTTTCTAACAGAGGTTTGATGCGTGACCCATTATATAAGTGGACTCCACTTTTATTAGAAGTTTAAGGTCGTACACATTGTGATCTATAAATGCGGTCTCTTTAACATTTTCTTATTAGCACTGCTGCAAGTTGAACCCTAAAAATAAAGAATGAGCATATATGTGTTCATGGAACTTACCCTTTTGAGGAGTCGTACGTCAGCCCAACAGTGTTCTTGGCCTGTTCAAGAGCCAACCTAAACTTTGGAAGCATCTCCGGTGGACATTGCCCATTCTCGACGACACGAAGCTGAGAGGGCTTAATATCACAGAAGATTGGAATAACCTTCTTCTTAGACTCCATGAAGAGGGCCAATTCATGAAGGCAAAAGTAAGAGTCGCAATATCGTGGCGAAAACACAGCAACGCCAACCTTACATCCCATTATCGCACTATCAATTTTATCAAACAGTTTGTCTCCAGGTTTCATGGTCCTGTTATCTAAGAAAGGGCGCAAGTTGAGAAGAGAAAGATGGTCGTAAAGCAAAGAGACTATTGTTCTTTTTGTGTCTATACCTCTGTGGTTAAGGAATACATCACAGGGTTTGGTAACCCGTTTGGCCAATTGGGTTTGGTTTTGGAGGAGGAAAAGGTTGCGGTGGAAGTTAATTGCCGCTGAACGATACATGCTTTTTCTCTGTTGAGCCTGAGTTTTTGTGTTCGTCTCTGCCTTGTTCTTCTTTCTATGTTGTTATAATGAGAATTGTACCTTTTGTACTCGGATTTGCACGGCCTTAAATAAAGCCTCAAGTCCACCTTTTTTTTTTTCAAATTTTCTTGTAGAAATTTTGTTTTTTTAAGATGGAATAATTTCTTACTGTTGAAGTTGATTTTGAAATTATTCTTTAAGTATGCTGGAAAGAACAAAATTTTTGACCAGCGGTAAGCAAATACAAAGGGAAAACCCCTTCAAACACGTTGAAGGTCTCTCTCTATGTGAAATGTTGCCTCCACACCTCAGTTGCATCTAACATGCACTGGGTCATGTTCTGGACGAATTTAAAATGCTTCCAGTTTTTTTTTTTTTTTCCACCAAATTGTCGAGGACCAAAATATTAAAATCCTTGTGGAAAATTTAAATCAGCACATGCCTTGGGAAGTTCTATCTCCTTCGAATTTCAAGACAAATTCAAAGTAACTTTAATCTGTATGTTTTTTTTCTGAGAAAATGAAGAAATTAATATATTACATACATATATTACTTTATTGCAAGTTATAAAAACCATCAAAAGGTTTTCTTTGACTGTTTGAATGAGGTAAATATTCCACTGAAAATTACACAGACCATTTTATTTACATTCACATAATTTTATTTCTAGGCAGCTTCTAGCTAGTTTTTTTTTTTTTTTTTATAAATTTAATTTGTGAGAATTAACTGTTTCCCCGAACCCTTGATGCTCTGTCACTCGTCTCATGTACGTCAACAAAAACCCTAGTTGCCGTACTCTCGTTCCAAGCCTTTGGACCCTTGATTTGATTACACCTTCTCACTTGACATGTATAGTTCCGTGTTGCCTTTGTTCTCCTGTCCCACTTGGTCAATATATATTATCTTACCAAATAAAAGATTGTAGCGATGGTGTTTGGAAAAACCGAGTGGTTTGAATCATGAACTAAATTACGTAATGAACTTCGTATGTAATTACGGGTGCTACTAGCAAATTAGCAATACATGTTTGTGGGGTGTGTTCGCGTTGTGTCACTCTGTGTTTGTATTGATTAATTAGTAGTCAGTCTTAACTGAATGCATTAATTAATTGCGTTCATTGATTCAACGCTAACATAACCCGTTTAATAATCATGTCGCATTATGGCCAGGGGCGGAACCACACTAAGGGCTACAGTGGGCTGTAGCCCAGTGTGGTTTTTTAAGGAAAAAAATATAAAACTTATATATATATTTAACTTATTTTCAGTATTAGCCCAGTCAGTGGCGCTGTACAGATTACCTTATTTCCATTTTCAACATTTAAGTAAATGTCTTTGTCATTTTACTTTTATTTATTTTTATATTACTCCATTTACTTAAGTTTACAATGTAAATAAGGAAGTACCC